CGAGAAGACTTGTTCTACCACCAGAACCATAGGCGAGCGTGCCTTTCGAACCAGCGCCGATATTATGGCTATAGCTTGCGGCGCCCCTGCTAACCGCTCGGCCATTCGACTCACCATATATATGGGCACATACACAAATTTGTCTCATACAATCTGATAGTGTGGACAGATCTTTAGATTATAGATTTTAATGTCAATACCATGATGGCTCTAATGTGAAATACCCCTCAGGTGCATAATATGTGTTGCATGAGAGTTCAGTGACCCGAATAGTAATGGAAGTGCATAGAGACCGCAGTTGGCAGAATGTCATGAGGCTGATGCTGTTATTAATATTATTTTTGTTATTATTTTTATTATGATTATTGTAGAAATAATCTTTATTGCGATTTCAAATATATACAGAAATTGAAGTTGAACATTATAAAATTATTATTAACTGGAAGAATAATTATTAAATTGTTGACAGTACTTTAATATGATTATTATTTACTAGATTTTTTTTCTGTAAATATATGTATATGTATATATATATGTATATGTATATATATATATACATATAAATACATATATATATTCAGTCGTTGAAACAAAAAATTATGACAAGGCATGTAGACTGTAGCACACTTCATTTATTTTCGAAAGAAATTTTCGGCCAGTCCTCTGGCCTTCATCAGCTTTATAAAGCTGATGAAGGCCAGAGGATTTTCTTTCGAAAATAAATGAAGTGTTCTACAGTCTACATGCCTTGTTGTCATAATTTTTTGTTTCAACGACTTATATATAATTTAAAGAACACACTTGGATTTACAATGATATATATATATATATACAGTATATATTATGATATTCTCTTCATTATAATCTATCCATTTATGTTCTTTGAAATTAAAATTATACAAAAAGATATATAATTTATGCATTATATGTTTTTAGAAGTTTTTAACCTTTTACAGAAGGTGTTATTTGACTCGTAGGTATTGAATCCTGCAAGGTAGTATGTTGTTCTTTTATAAAGAAAAAGCCTGTGATCTCAGTGCTCACAGGTCCTCAAATGGCAATTGATATGTAAAGCTAACCCAGATTTTTATCCCGTCAAGCTTCAGCCAGGCAGATAGCACACTCCACAGCACTTGCTTCCATATCTGGTCTTGGTGAGTATTTCTGACCCCATTTTAAACTCTGATTTTGTCCAAGAAAATTGGAAAAATATTACAGCTTTATGTTGTAGAGAAGTTCACCTTGCCTGTGATGTTATAAGTCCTAAATATATACCCCTTTACCTATGTAGATATTGTATAATAAAAATTTAAGGGTGTGCACTATGATAATCCAAATTACAAGCTGGACAAAGACTTTTATAATGAAACAGCCGATCTTTTTCAATAAAAATTTGATTCTACACAACAGATCTTGAGAATATGAAACCGTTGGTAGTGCTCTCCCTTGCAAATATGTCCATTTTGTAAAAGAATTTTTTACACAATGGTAAATTGCATCTTGATTAGTTCACACTGCAGTACTTAGTGATTTTAATTTTTTTTTTCCTGTTTCATTATAAAACTAATGTAGTAATTTGAAATTTATGTATGTATATGTCAGGTTAAAGTATGTCATATAGAAGATAATTAGGATTATATACTTTAGATATTATATAACAATATAATATTTAGTCATTCTTTAGATAAAAATGTTTCTGTAGTGTTGCATATTGATTTTCCAGGAGTAAAAACTGTTGCATTACCCTTGTAGGTACTGGAGGCTACAGCAGTAGTGGTGAAAGTGGAGATGAGAACAAATGGGGCAAAACAGATGAAGATGAAGAGACGAGTGATGAGGAACTACAAATTAGCATTCGCAAAAAACAAAGAGCATGGAAAGAGAAAATTTTGCAAGAAAGTAAGTTACTACAAAGCTAATCACTGATTTGAAAATACAATGAGGTACAGTAGGCGTTACTTGGCCAATGTGTCATGAAACCATTATGTTGGCTCTGAGTTGCTCACCTTGTGTGACACCACTAACCCTGGTATTCTTAAAATGAACTTTAGTCGTAGTTTGAGCTAAAACTTCAAAATTACATCATTTCGTATTTCGACTAGCACTACAACTAAATCACGCCAACCTCGACTAAAATGATACCTCCGCAGGCAGATTTTTTTTGTCAGGCTAAATCGCTGATTTGAAATATTGAACCCACAAAAAACATGCTTTTTTTAACTGTCAATAAAGTAAAACGAATAGAAATGATTGTATACGCAGGTCTGATATATTTTCGGCGTGTTAAACAAAAGATACATCAAGTTTAACTTCCAAAATGAGAAATTAACATGTTTTTGCTAGCCACATGCGATAGTTCCTGATTTGCACGAAATCCCCTCACGTTGCAGTCACCTAGCTTCACCATAACAACAACAAAGATGGCGCCGCCCTCACTCGGGCTAATTTATAATAGTTCTCCAAAGAAAGCAAATTTCCAGTGACTGTTCAAATTTTCTATCTTTATATGTTAACGGCCAATAGAGTTATCATTAAAGAAATTAATTAAGCGAATGATTAACTATTATGAATTATGAGGAAATATGTTTTTGAATGGCAGGCGGCAGCTTAATATTCATGCACATTACCGGATCTCTAAAAATTTCGTCTTATATTAAAATGAGCTCTTTTCATTGGTCAGTTTGTTAGTCGTTGCTTGCCAGCCGTCTTCAGTTGAACTAAAACTATGACTTGATTTAGTCGTAGTTAGAACTTTGACTACGTTGTTTATGAATACAAATCTAAATTTAAGTTGGAACTAGGACTAAATGAATATCTAGTTCGAAGTTCGACAAAAGTTTGTTTTAAGAATTCGGGCATAAATTATTGAGCTTGACCTGATGGCTTAAGAAACTCCCAAGTTTAGTCCATGGTTTAGTGAAAACACAGTGGCTACCACTAGTCTAGTTTTCTGCATGACATTGTTTATATTGTTGTCCCACTACTAAACCTTTGTGTTTTATCAAATGATGTCATGCAACTAAATCATTGAGCCTGATGTAATGGCTAAGTTGGAAACGAAGTTGCTTGTGAAATATATTGTCATACCACTAAACCATTAAAGCCTGGTTCTCACGAGAGCCCTAGTATCCGGATCGGGAGCTAACCGTTAGCGCTAACTGTTAGCACCTGGTGAGAGCGCCCGATCGGTTAGCGCTAACCGTTAGCGGTATCCGGATACGCTAACGGTTAGCAAGCGCTATCGGTTAGCAAGTTGAGGGCGTTTCTATCATTAACCAATCATACGTACACATTTACAATTTCCAGTTTTTTATTGGCCTGTGATTCAATCATCATACAGTATTGTTGGTATCCAGATCAGGATTTTCTCGCATGGACGTATGACAGCTAACGGTTAGCAGGATAACCGTTAGCTGCCATGTGAGAACATAGCCATCGTTTGCTTTGAACCTGATGCCTAATATGAGAATAAGAATTATTTCTCTAGTGTCATACTAATAAACCAGTGCTTGATTTAGTACTAGCCAAAAAAAAAAATTAAAAAACAAAAAATAAGCAAATATTGTACCACGTTTAAAATGTTTGCGCCACGCTCATATAATATATATTTTATTCAAAAAGTTACAATATATATACCGAAGTGTCGAACTGCAATGTTGCCCTTCAATTACATATCAGGCCAAAAAAAAAAATGTTTTTGTTTGCCATCCTCCACTCGCCCCTAACTCACTGAAAAAAATAGGGGCGGAAAAACAAGAAAAACTTGCAGGAAGTTTTTTTTTTTTTAGCTTTTTTCTTAACAAATTAGAAAAGTTTGAGTGAATTTATCTTCATTTTTTGCCAGATGCCCTACAAATTAGTCTAAAGTTGTCTGATGTAAGATATTGCCATTCTAGGCCTTTGTGGGTTAATTTTATTACATCTGATGAGTATTTAAAAAAAAATTAATTAATTAAAAAAAAACTTTTTCCACCCACCCCTATTTATCATTTTTTTAAAAAAGAAGGGCAAACAAAAATTTATTTTATTGGGCATCATCATGAGGCACCACCTTCAATGGCAAGCTCAACTGCAGGATCTCTATATATGACTCCATCTTGCTGGTACTAGTTTGAATGAATTGTTTCCTAATTGTTTTAATAATTTAAGTGTACATAATATTAAATTAAATGTATCGTGTAAATGAAATTTAAATTGTGGAGCACTGGTTAAGCTGCGCCGTGCCCGAGAGCATAAGTAGTATAAAAAATGTATCCACCCTTTAAAATTTTGCACACCACCTCTACATTTTTCGGATAACATTTTCTGAAATTCTGCCACTCTTTACAAAAATCCTGATGAGAGGGCTGGGTATGATTAATTCATGTCTTCTGTATTTGTTTTTGTAATAGAATATTATTAACATCCATCAAAGTAATCAATTTTCAAATTTAATTGTCGCTAATCAGTATTTTGAAGAAAAAAAACCGGATCGTCATCAAAAATGATCTATTGCGCATGCGTCGTCGCGTTGCATCTTCATAGAATTGCGATGGATTTGACTCTGGGTAGTATGGACAGAAAAAAGCAAAAAGCTTCAATTTTACACCTGATACTGTTTTTTTGGATAAGGTTCTATAGACACAGCATAGAATTGTGTTGTGGGTTTGATAAAAACAAACTTGGTACTTGACAGGAAAATCCTTTTGCAGCTTCTGTCAGAAGCTAGACTACAGGGCCTCCCAACGGACAGCAGTGGCGGCGCCAGCAGGGGGAGCTTAAGCCCACACTGGGCAGGTCAAGCCCCCCACTGGACAGGTCAAGCCCCCCACTGGGCAGGTCAAGCTCCCCCTGCCGGACAGAGCTCATCGGGCAGTCAGACCGTAAAACATATAAAAATGGCCCACACCAAGCCACAGTCTGAGAGTGCCATTTTCGGCCATCCAGAGGTTGATATTCTTTAAAAAAATCTCATTTTGGAGGGGGAACCTCCTCTCAACCCCTTCCTCCATCTCGAGGCTACGAGCTCAAGTCCCCCGTCGGACAACTTAGCCCCCCTCCCCAGAAAATATGTCCTAAAGCCGCCACTGCCGGACAGGTCAAGGGCCCCCTCCCTATCAAACTGAGCTCGTCGGGCAGTTGGACTAAAAAAAATAAAAGAATAGGCCCATACCAAGTCAACACATGTCTGTCACAGTTTGAGTGTCATTTCTGGCTATCCAGAGGTTCCTGTTCTTAAAAAAATCTCATTTGGAAGGGGAACACCTTCACAAAATCTTCCAGCTCTAGTCCCCCTGTCGGACATCTCGGCCCCCAGAAAATATATCCTACAGCCGACACAGCTATTAACCTTATTATCAATGGCACTAAACAAGCAGAACAAAAAAAAACCCAATGCCAAGATTAATAATAAAATAATAATAATGATAATGATAATAATAGTAATAATAATTTTGGCTTAAATAGCGCATTATGCTAAAGCCTCGATGCGCTAACATCACCGCAAATACAGTAGTGCAATATTTCATGAATGTCCGCATAGGAACCTTGGCCCTCGCAGAGGTCTGGTCTTTAATTCTGTTTTTATCTCATTCCCACTGATGTGGGGATGAGATTCCCACTTCTGTTACTGATTTATTTCTTTTTAGTGATTGTGCATTTTTCTTTGAGAGTCTTTGCACAGTGAATTTTTTTACTTTTTGACAATCCGCCAGAATAGTGCTAGGTTTTGTGATGTTTGTTTGTACTATCTGGAAAATAAATAAATGAAATAATTGAAATGAAACCTTTTTCGTCTCTTGATATAAAATACAATATTTAAAAAAAAAACACAAAGCGAGACAATTAAAAATATTTTCAGGAGGTGGACTGGATTGCCAATAGCAAAATTAATCACTTTCTATGTGTCTATACAACCCCTATCATACAAAATACAATACAAATAATTGTAATGAATAATTTCAATTGCACTGAAATGTATTTAATGTTCTGATCACCATTCTTAATGAGTGATTATAGGTGATATTAATTAAAACGACAGTTAACATTTTAATTGTTATGTTCTCTGATATTCAATCAATTTTTAAAAATTTTGTCTTCAGGAATTGCACTAGAGGCGGAAGAAGAACGATTTCGTCAACAACAGGAGATAGCCAACAAGATTAAAGATAGGGAAACTAATCCCAACACTAATGATAAACATGCAATTCCATTTTTGGACACCAAAGATACCTCCATCGAAACTGTCAAACAAGATGATGTCAGTGAGAGAGATGAGAGTAAATATGATGATGAAAAGAGTCTAGAAAAGAAAAATGAAATTAATTTAAAAGATGAAGAATTGACTAATAGGCAAAAGAGTAAAAAAAAACGTTCAAGAAGCAAGGAGAAGAGCGATAGGAAAAAAGATAGTCAGAGAAAGAAAAGCCGTCATCAGAGTCCCTCAAGAGATGGGCGTAGGCGGGGGAGATCATCTAGTTTGGAGGATTCTAGGAGGAGAAAGCATGAGAATACATCCGATATCCGGGAAAGTAGGAAAAGAAAAAGCCGCTCTAGAAGTAAAGATAATAGAAAGAGTAGATCACAAAGTAGAGATAAAAGAATCAAGAGACGACATTCTAGGTCAAGGAGTAAGGAGAGAAAAAGTGTTAGAAAACGTAGTACATCACAAAGTAGAGAAAGGAGACGGAATAGTAGGTCAAAAAGTAGGGATAGGAAAAATGACAGAAACCGTAGTAGATCTCGGGGTAGGGTTAGAGAATGGCGCAGTAGATCACATAGTAGAGAAAGGCGGCGACAACATAGAGATAGAAAAAGCGATAGAAAAGAGAGGAGGCGAAAACGATCAAAGAGTCTTGAGTTAAAAAAGGAAAGAAGACAGAAGAATAGTAGATCAAGCAGCAGTGATAGTAATGCGAGTTCAGAGGTAAATGGGCAGGGCAGTTCTGATCTTAACAATTTAGATAGCTCTTCTAATAGTTCTAATGAAAACCGATTTAATACTTGGCAGGTGAGATCAGAGAGTGAAGAAAGCAGGAGTGATAAGAAAAGTTTGAAAAGGAGTAAAAAAAAGAAAAAGAAACGGTCACATGAAGACTCAGGCTCTGAGCATTCTTCTGCTGATGAAAGGGAAACGAGTAAACGATCTCAGAAATATGATAAAAAATCAAGCAAGCATCGTTCGGCACCATCAAAAAATGAGCAGCAACGACAGGACAAAAGAAGTTCCGATGAAAGCTCTACTGAGGAAGCTTATTCCAGGTCAGTGAGATCCGGTAAGAAGCGCAGAGATCGATCAAGGTAAGTTGCAATATAGGATTACTTTGAGGTTAAAATAAATGTCATGTTCTGCTGGAAAGCATCTTCACAGATGACATTTTATAGACTTTGGTTATTTTATCAGTGTATTTTACCAGTTTTGCTTTTTTACACGTTGTAAGCCGTTTCATTAATATGAAAATACTTAGAAATGTTACATGTTTTAAGCATGCTATTGCACTATCGAATGAATTCGATCCCCAAAATCCAAGCTTTATCTTAATTTGCTTGGATGTTGTTCCAAATTTATGACCATAAAAAGGTTTTACACTAAAAATGTTTTTTTTATTAATATATAATGCAAGATGTCACTTTCAAGTATGCACAATTGCTGTGGCATGATGCTCTTCTAGCCAATCCTGAAAAGATCTTCACTACTCTAGTACTTTTATATGATTGTAACTAGAAGCTGGATTTGTATGTTTTGCCTTTTGTTCCCACAGATCAGTTTCCCCAAGAACATCACGCCGATACTGAACACCATATTGGCTTTAATGCCAACTATGGAACGAGAAGTCAACTAGGAAAACCAGTGATGTGGAGAATTATGAAACAGTATTGTGTGCAGGAGTAATGCGAGATTACTAGACAAATGATGGTAGGCCTACTGTACAGCGGTAAAATTTATAATTTGATAACTTACTGTATTCCTGAATTGTTTCTTACAGTACTCTTCCAAACATTATTGTCAATGGAAATGGAAGTACTGTATTTTAATACTATTACAGATTATCTAGATTAGGCCTACTTAAGCCTTTAAGACGTGTATTTTGCTGGATAAATATATACTGTATTTAATCTCTTGGACAACACAAATGCTGAATAAGTAGGTTATTTTGATGCAGTGTATAAAATCTCTTGTTATGACAGATATTTGTCTTTTTCAAGATGAAGTCATACAATAGTGCTCGAATCAGTGGATGATGAACATGTAAAGTTCAGGAGATTTGCTCAAAAAGGAGTTTTTGTGGGACCATTGAAACCCCCTGGTTAAAGCCTGGATTCCCATCATAAACAAATATTTAGTCTACAATCTTGTATTTGTTAGCCAAATTAAATGCTTGAAATCTTACAAAACTGTGTTGTTATTATACACAATATAATAGCTGTGTGATAAAATGATAACTCCATAATTATCTTAAACTTAACTGTACTGTAAAAATAGTTTATTCCTAGTTTTAATTTCATAATAGCATTTACTAAGTTTGTGAATGTATAGCATCATATCATTTGGTGTATTTTATCACATTATGTACATAGTGTCATATTCTTAGGAGATGGTTTTTTTTTTTACACAAATTTTACATGAACAATCACATTAGTCAGTCATATGTATTCCTGTTTACATTGAACAAGATGTTAACACGCTAAGCATTGTTGGATGGCTAAATCGGGGCACTCACTGTGCACGGCGGTCGTCAGCCGACGCGATTTCAACATAACTGGACGATGCTCAGACGGATCGTTTTTAATGATATGATCTGTTTAGAGCAAGGAGGTATTTCAGAGTGCCACCGAAAATCAGCAGACAGCGTCGCTTTGCCTAGCATTCAAAATGAGCGACGTTGTATTCGTCGTACAACTGTCGTAAAACGCAGTGAGTGCCCAGCTGACAAGAAAATGGCCCTGGAAAAATAGCCCCTGTAAAAATAGCCCCTGTAAAAATGGCCCTTGTAAAACTGGCCCCAAATGACAAGTAAGTAAAAATGGCCCCGATGAAAAAATTCAGTAATAGAAATTATATTTTTTTTTTCAATCTTCAAATATTTAAATACTGTAATAAGCAAGAATTGAATCAATAAATAAAAAAATGGCCCTCAATTATAAAATTTAAAAAAAAGTGAAAATCGTAAATTTATAAATAAAGTTATATTTTTTCCTTTGAAACTAAGATCAATTTATGTGCTTTTTTTTTTATTTCTCTAAAAGTATTTGTTTTTTAACAAATGCAGTTACACAACAGATGCAAATAACGTACTGAGAGAATATCAGAAAGCAATGGCCATTAAATAACATTATTATTTTTTGATAGAAATAAAATTTTAAAAAACGTTATACCAAAATATTCAGCTCATAGATAACCACAAAATTCACTTTTGTTAAGTACCAAATGAAATAACTTTACATGGTATTGCCCACAAACTTCCCAAAACACACTGTAGAAATCCCAACAAATCAATGGTGATTGACTCACTTGGTATATCAATGAGAAAATTAAATTTCATAAGAACCTATTTTTGGATTAAAATGTGGATATATTTTTTTGTGAAAAAAATACTTGTGAACACACCACAAACCTCCAAACACTCTGCGAACCCCATCCAAACCCTTTAATTATGATTGTAGAACTCTCTTTAAAAAAAAAATAATAATAATTTGATGTTCATATCAACCCATTGTTTGTGGGGTTTACCAATACCTGGAATGAATTTCTGGAAAATTGTGATCCCTTCAGTAGAATTGACCACAAATAAAGTATTTTAGTATTAATAAATACATGATTTATGTTGATTTATTGATTATTCTGTTGCTATTTCTTAACATTTAAATGGGAAAAAAATTAAAAGTGTTATTCATGGCATTTTTTTTTCATCTTTGAATATTTTATCTTTGAATATGTAATTCCTGCAAAAAGTAAAATGTAATTGGCAATTTATATGATGTTAGATTCCTTTTAAAAACTAAATTATTTCAGTTAAAAAAAATGCATATAACGATTTAAAAAAATCAGTTTTAATGCAGAATTTTATTATTTTGGCCATTTTTACTGGGGCCATTTTTTCCTGGGCCATTTTTGCTGGGGTCATTCTTACTGTACACCGACAAAAACAGGCAGACATTTTGACATATAGAATTAGCATCGTTTAGTTAAGCAGACTATCAAATTACATTTACGTCAGCAAATGTGTTGGTATAGCATGAATATCTGTTGAAAAACTAGTGTACACGCTGCAGTCTTGATTCAGTGTCCGACCAGTTTACCGAAGTTCAGTTTGCACAACGCCAGACTTGCAAATTCCACTTCACTAAAACCTAGATTGCCGAATGCCAGGTTGTCGACTCAAAAATCATGAAACCCACTTTGCTAAATATCATCCCACTGTGTTTCAACTGTCTAATTCTACAGTTAATAAAGAACAAGTACGTGCAGGCTACTGTGATAGCTCTATTTCGGTGTTCAAGGGGTAGATCCAGGAATTTCAAATTGGGTAGCCTAATAGGTTTCCATCATTGATTTTAAATTGGCTGATGTTTCAAGATTTGTCCGAACGGTCAAAATCGAAAAATACAACCTAAGAAAAGCACCTACAATGTACCATATTTTATAATAGTCAAAAAAGGAATACTGTAATATGCTTTAATTTCTACCAAGCTCTACACTGGCTAATAATTAACTGTATAAGCCAGTCACAGTGGCAATCGTAGAACACGATGAATATAATAATAAATATGAATGAATATTTTGTAAAATGCTTGATCGCTTGTAAAAAAAAAAGATTTTAAATGAATTTTGGCGCCAACATTTATGAATGATAAATACTGTACTTACTTCTATTAGAAGCTTTACAGTGTGAAGTAAAATATATTATTATTATTATTATAACTATAGTATGTTGTAAGCCAAATGTAGTACGTGCATTTTAATTATTAGTTTTCTAAATAACATGCAAGTTATTTGTCTGGCCTTCAGCAATGTGGATTTTGGTAATCTGACCTAGATACACTGAGTCTTAAAATTCCTACTCACAAAAAAAAGGAAGAAAAAAACAGCTTGTTTGTCCTTGGTGTGCTTATTTGATACCATAGAAAACCAGAAAATTGAATGAAAATTGGCAAGAGTTGTAACACAGGTTGCCCCCAAGAAGTCATACATAAACAAAAAATATGCATTGTTCTTAATTATTTTTTACCTCCTTTAGAAATAGTGTCTATTATGTCCGCAAATCAATTTAAACTGGATGTGCACACTAGTTTTTCTACAGTACATATTGTAACCTATAAATACGGTTACATTGGAATGTATCCAGGTTCTTTCTGACCATGTTTTTAAAAACAGTACAGTAGTAGTTTAATAAATTTGTGAAATGAAAGCATGTTATTTTGTTCAGAATTTGTTTGTCTATGTACGACAATTAGATATTGAAGTGAGAAATGTTGAGATGGCTTTTGTTG